TTGCTAGGTTATTTCTGGCCTACAATGAACCAAGATTGTGAGAAGTATGTGCAAAGGTGCAAGACTTGCCAGGTGTTCTACAAGTTTCCGGGAAGGCCTGCGACATATTACCATCCGGTTTCCAATGTTATTCCATTCGCAAGGTTTGGGATGGACATCATTGGAGCCTTCCCCCAAGCACAAGGGAGGAAGAAGTATGTCATGGTTGCTATCGACTACTTCACAAAATGGGTAGAGGCCGAGGCATATGCAACCATCACAACCAAGCAGTGCCAGCGCTTCGTCTGGAAGAATATAATCACCAGGTTCGGGTCTCCTCGAAACATTGTGACGGACAACGGGCCTCAATTTCGGAATCCAGGGTTCACCAAATACTTGGAGGACTTTGGGATTACTCACAACAAGGCTTCCGTGGCCTACCCGCAAGGGAATGGTCAAGTGGAGAATGCGAACCGCACAATAGTCGACGGGATTAAAAAGAGGTTGGGTGAGGCAGGAACAAATTGGCTAGAGGAGTTGCCACATATCATCTGGGCTTACCGAGTCACTTCGAGAAGGGCCACCGGGGAGACACCATTCGTCCTTACATATGGATGTGAGGCCAGACTACCGATTGAAGCTAAAGTAATGACCTTCCGGGAAAAGATCTATGAGGAGAAAGGGAATGAGGAGGACCATTTGGCAGAGTTGAACTTGTTGGAGGAAAGGCGGATGGTTGCTGAGGCTAAAATGATAGAGTACCAGCAAGCGGCCAAGACCTACCATGATAACAAGGTAGGGCCTCGTTATTTCCAAGTCGGTGATGAGGTCTTGAGACGAAGGGAGGCCAGCAAACCGAGTGATTGTGGAAAGCTTGCGAAGAAATGGGAAGGCCCATATAGGGTCAAGGCAATATTAGGCCCTGGGACATACAAGTTAGAAACAACGGAAGGTCGAGAGTTGGAAAGGTGCTGGAATTCCCACCACCTTAGAAAATTCTACCGATAGACCAAATTGGCAGGGCATGTATCTGTAATACCCCTTCGATGATGAATAAGAGATTTCTTCAATACTTGTGTTGCTGGGTCAGTAATGCTAAAGTAATGTCTTGACGTAAGAGGCAAAGTCAAAAAAAAGAAAAACCCTTGAGATAGGGGCCTTGATGTTGAGGTATGGCCTTGAGATAGGCTGGGTCTGGAAGAGGACTCGCGTCCATACTCACATGGATCCCTACCAAATTTTCATTTGGATAGGGGCAAAAAGATGCCAAAGTAAAAAATGATTACCGTCTTGCATGAACCATCCTTTGCGGATTGAAGGGTCTAGGGAAGACTAGAATTCACTTCAAACGTATAACATATGGACATGTAAGATTGGATGAGGGCTGGTTCTCACCGGCATACCCCCACGTGGGAAGATTGGGTTGGCTAGGTCAACCTAATGATTAAAGAATGGCACATTAAAAAACTTAAAACCTGGAAGAGGGGTGTTGCCTGGAAGAGGGCTGAACCTTGGAGAGGGTTCGCGATCATAGGACATGGTCAAAATCTCCGAAGAAAGTTCGGGTCTTGATGTTGAGACTTGATGTTTCCAAAACCGTTTCGGATTATTCGTTCGAAATTTGAGCAAGGTTGCTGTTAGGCATGACACCCAGGCCAGAGGGGGAAAAGAAGGTGGCATGGTCAAAAGTGACCGGTCACTTTTGATATGTTCTGGATTGACAAGAAAAAGCGAACGGGAAAAAATTAAAATTTGACCGGTCAACTTTGAGAAAAATGACCGGTCACTTTTTAGTTGGCGGATTTGATGCAATCAGACAAAACTGGAAAAAATATTTTTTGACCGGTCACGTTTTTGACCCGGCACCTGGACAGGAAATCTGACGTCATGCTGGTTACATATTGCAACCAAACCATCAGAACCTGGAAGTTGACTGGGTCAGAAAACAGGCGAGGAAGAAACCGACCTAGACGTTTTCAAGTCAAGAAACCAGGACATGAGATGACCTGGAAGTTTTCAAGCCTTGGGTCTAAAGTGGTTTTCAAAACTTCCAACCTAGCCTACTACACCAGGACATGAGATGACCTGGACGTTTGTTGCAGTTCAACCTAGACACAAGCCGGTCCGGAAGACAAATCAGGCCACAAGATCTGGACGTTTTCAAGGTTGCAAGACCTAGATGTTTTCAAGGCTTGTACTTGACCAGGACATAACGTGACCTGGACATTTTCAAGAGATGGAATTGACCTGGACGCTGTCAACAAAGCCTACCAGACCTAGACGTTTCTAAGGCGTTGACCAAAGACCAGGACATGAGGTGACCTGGACAACTACAAAGGGTAAAGCCGGTTACTTATTTTGACTTCGAATCAAGCATATTCAATAAAATTGTCAACCAAGCCAATGAGGCCTGGACGTTTTCAAGACCAGGACATGAGATGGCCTGGACATTCTTTAAAACGATTCCTAAGGTATAAGGCCGGTTAGTTTTATTGACTTCAAGAAAAAGAAAAGAAAAGCTATCGTGCAAGAGACAATAACCATGCATAGAAAAGAAGTTCAACCATGCAAATTGAAACAGATCGACCGGTAAAATTCAAGAGCATGCCAAGAAGATTTAAATCTCATACAAATCAAAAGTAGGCCGGACATCCCCCGGGCCTTGGGAAAATTCAGAGTGTTTTCATTATCTACCCTAACCTACTGCAAAGGGAAAGGGGGGGCTGGCTCTTCCTTGTACAAAGGAGGAAGCTTCATCTTGGCCGGGTCAAACGAAGGGTCCCTTTTCTGGAGCCTGGCATAGAGAAGGGACCTCTCATCCTTCTGGCCACACTGGAAGCCGTATGACCCGATCTCAGTTATCATCCTCATGCCCTCCGGTTCTTTGTACATGGTCTTGAAAAAATCCATGGTATCCTCCGGCTTGGTGAGAACAGACCGGGCAACTTCGGTGTGATGGCAAGCGGCCCAAGTTGCAGCATCATCAGGAAAAGACTGCTCCTTTGCCCGGGCAGATTCTTCAGCCTGTCCCAAAGCTTCCTCTAGCTCAGCCACCTTTCTCTTCTCCTCCACTAGCTTGGCTCTTTCCTCGTCTAGCCTGGCCCTTTCTTCCTTCAGCTCCTCTTCAAGTCTCTTCTCCCTCTCGGCCCGGTCATTGATCTCCAACTTGGCAGAATCAAGAAGGAGGGTAAGTTCGGAGACCTGGTCCTTGGACTCCAGGAGTGACCGGCCAACTTCTTCGGATAGAACTCCAACCTGGAAAACAAGCTTGTCAGGAAAAGCGAAGGAAATAACTGAACCGGGAGGAAAATCAGAGTTGATACCTTGCTGAGTTTCTGGGCCAGGGATAAAAAGGTCACTTCAATGGACTCCCCTTCTAGATCTGATAACCTGACCTTCTTCCTCCTCTCCCCCTGGAAGTCTTGTGGGAACTCTTCCTTTTCTGAGAAGAAGAATGACCGGTCCCCTTCCCTTTGGCCTTGACATCTTTCTTGAGATAAGGGACCCGGTCACTTTCAAAGAGATGGGTGGCTGGAGGAGAGTTCGGTTTTTGGCTCTGTTCATGGGTAGGGCTACACCGGGCACTTGTGGCCCCATCCATTTCAGGGAAGTAAGGAGGAGAAGGAGGCTTGGAGAGAGGAGACCGGTTGGAGTTGAGGACTTGGACATCATCGTCATCATCCTCAATGATGGTGGTCATCCTGTTGAAGTTCATGTCTGAAAAAAGAAAGCAACTAGTGACCGGTTAGTTCTTAAGCCTTGTACATAAATAAAGAAAATGAAAGTAAAAAGCTTAAGAGAAGATGATCGACCTGGACGAGGAGAACTGGCCTCAGCATGACCATCCGGGGAGTCTGCCCGGTCATCTTCTGCGTCATGGGTCGCAGATTCACCCCCATCCGGGTTAGGTAACCGGTATACCCATCCACCGTAGGCGTATGGCTTACCGGACACAGGATCACCCTTGAGAAGTTTCTCGCAGGCATCTTCAAGCTCAGGGGTAGGCTCCGGGTGAACCCTTTCAGGTTTTATTACCCGGTCAGCCCACTCGGGGTTAGTGAAAGGAAATTGGTCAGAGGGAAACTCAATAAAAACGAATCTTTGTTTCCATCTCTTATGGCTGGGGGGAAGACCGGTCACAAACCCCCTCTTATTGCGGGAATGGAAATAGACGAAGCCCGGGCAGTTACTAGTCCCGGGCAAGACTTCGTACATGTGGAGGAAAAGCTCAAGGGAAGGGTTGATTTTCAGATTTTCACAAATATTAACAAAACAATTTAAGAACCGGTGAGCGTTTGGAGTAAGTTGACCGGGCAAAATATGAAACTTTTNTATACCCATCCACCGTAGGCGTATGGCTTACCGGTCACAGGATCACCCTTGAGAAGTTTCTCGCAGGCATCTTCAAGCTCAGGGGTAGGCTCCGGGTGAACCCTTTCAGGTTTTATTACCCGGTCAGCCCACTCGGGGTTAGTGAAAGGAAATTGGTCAGAGGGAAACTCAATAAAAACGAATCTTTGTTTCCATCTCTTATGGCTGGGGGGAAGACCGGTCACAAACCCCCTCTTATTGCGGGAATGGAAATAGACGAAGCCCGGGCAGTTACTAGTCCTGGGCAAGACTTCGTACATGTGGAGGAAAAGCTCAAGGGAAGGGTTGATTTTCAGATTTTCACAAATATTAACAAAACAATATAAGAACCGGTGAGCGTTTGGAGTAAGCTGGCCGGGCAAAATCTTGAACTTGTTACAGATTTCTGCGAGGAGGGGGCGGAGAGGAAAAATAATACCTCCCTCCAGAGACGCAATATGAAAACCCAACCGGGTTCCCTGGTGGGGTTCTATGATGTTGGGCCAGGTGGTGTTAGAAAGGACTTTATAGCCCGGTGGAAGGACGGACCGTACCTCGGCCAGGACCTTTTTGGTAACCCTAGAGGACTCTTTGAATACCGGTCTAACATCAAGGGCTAGGAAGCCCAAAGATCCCAGTCGTTCTTCCCATTGCTCCCAGCTGAGGACCTTGGGATTGAACCGACCGGGCAGTTGGTTCAAAGGAATAGGCTCCTGGGCAACTATTTCCCGGGCCTGGGAGCTAGACTGGTGAGAGGGGCGGCAAATCAAAGGAGTGACAGGGGGAGAAGAAGATTCAGAGTGGGAAGAGGAAGAGGGCTGAGAGTCAGATCCATAGGATTGGCCAGAGATGTTTTGGCTATCAGAAGACATTATGTAGCCGGTTAAAAAAGGGAAGATGAAAAATAAAAGACTAGGAGGACTGGAGAACTTACTAGGCAGAAGGCTAGAGAGAGAAAGTAGACCGGTTAAAACGTGAAGATCGAAGAAGAGAAGTGAAGAAGTGAGATGGGTTGGAGGAGTATTTATAGGAGAGAGAGGCGGTTTGGAACTCGAGGTGACAGGTGGGAGAAGAAGCGCCTGACACGTGGAAGGGGTTGTGATTAGGAGGGAAAGCTTTAAAATTTTGAATGGTAAGGTGGAAGGTTTTGGAGGGAAATTCCAAAAATCGAAGAGTCAGGGCCAATTCCGCTAACCAGAATGGACAGGTCATGCAACGTATTCCACTAAATCCAAAAGTGCCAGGTCTGATATGGAGATGATGAATCCAAGAAATGGGCAGGCCTCCATAGAAAGATCATGGGAATGGCTTGAAGGACAGGACAGGTCTTGACAAAGGAAAGCTTGGCAATCCAGAGAAAGACAGGTCTTGAAAGAGACAGGTATGATAATTACAAAAGTGACGGGTCTAAAAGGACAGGTCAACAAGAAGGACAGGTCAATGAGAATGACTTGATGATTTCAAAGAAGGACAGGTCATGGGAATGACTTGATGATTTTAAAGAAGGACAGGTCATGGGAATGACTTGGTGATTTCAAAGAAGGACAGGTCATGGGAATGACTTGGTGATTTCAAAGAAGGACAGGTCATGGGAATGACTTGATGATTTCAAAGAAGGACAGGTCATGGGAATGACTTGGTAATTTCAAAGAAGGACAGGTCATGAGAATGACTTGACGATTTCAAAAGTGATGGATCAACATAAATATACTTCCCGCCCTTGATGACTTCCTCACAAGGCCGGTAAGTGGAGGACTTCCTGATGGGTATATCCCTATACCCGACCCGGACAACCGAAAGGGACAGGTCAAAATATGACCGGTCACTTTTATCAATCACCAAATGAGGTTAACTCTTCGACTGGGACGGGTCAAAAGTTGACCGGTCACTTCCACTGAAAAAGTGACCGGTCACATTTTGGGCGTTAGCCGAAATGTCGCCTAACGTTACAAAGGACATTCTAGAAGACCAGAGACGGGTTGAGCACAAAGAATGACCAGGTAACCTTTGAGAGAAGGTGACCGGTCATATCATCTCACTTGACAAACATTGGTCCAGTATCTCAGGCATGGTGAACCACGTCAGAGGTCAAGGGGACACCCCGCCGCTCATCCATCACGAGGCACACAGTGAAAGGGATGTTTGTCATTTTGCAGGGTTGATTGGATTGAGAATATCCATTTTAGTCTTTGATTGAACAGTACATGTCTTGGCCTATAGTTGCTAAATTCTATGATTGTACAGTGTTCCCATTATCTACAGTGACCTTCCCACGAGCTTCCTATTTTGTCCATGGATGAACAGGGAAAGGTCACAAATCCTCCTCTATAAATATGATGATATTGGATAGAGGAGGGGGGCCAATTTTTCTCTCACTAAAGTTCACTCTTGAGATAGAGTAAGAAATATAATTCGGACTGAGGAGATTTACCCGGTCTAGGTCATACTTTGTGTTCTTGTTGTGTGTTTTATATTACGGGTCGAGTGTGTCTAGGTCAAACCCGGTTAACCCACCCCGCTATATTTACACCATCATATATATATATATATATATATATATATATATATATATATATATATATATATATACATACATACATACATATATATATATATATATATATATATATATATATATATATATATATATACTTGGGCCCCCTAAAAAATGGGCCTTGTCCAGCTTGCCCCTCCCTCCAGCCGGCCTTGATGACTCCTTACAGTGAGATAACATACTTCGGTGAGATGACGCAAAGCTCACCACATTACACTGCAAAGCTCACCAATGACTAATGTAAAGCTCACCACTTTGAACATCAAAACTCACCTTTTTTTAATTTTGAAAATTAAAAAAATAACTAAAAATAAAATAGCAACACCGGTCAACCACCGGTCAGCAGCGGCTGCGCTGCCGGAGTCCGGCGACGGCGACCAGCGATGGATGCTGGAGTCCGGCGGCGCGACCAGCGATGACCGCCGGAGTCCGACGACGGCAGGCGGCGGTCAACAATCAAAGTGTTGAAATAATATGGTGAGCTTTGTAGTTGTCTTTGGTGAGCTTTGCAGAGGTCAGTGGTGAGCTTTGTGTCATCTGATCGAAGCAGGTCATCTCACCGTAAGGTGTCATCTCACTAGAGTCAATCCCTATATATATATATATATATATATATATATATATATATATATATATATATATATATATATAGTGAGATACTATTAGTTGTATTTTTTTATAGCAAGAAAACCTTCATTCAAAAGAAATCAAATAAATGTGCAATACAACTTGATGGTGTACGGCTCCATGAGACCATATGGGACGTAGCACACCTTGCAAGGGTATGGGCAATACAATTACGATTTCTACGAATAAAATGAAAATTAATAGATGTAAACGATGATAATAAATCAGCACATTCGTCAAGGATGGAGCCTAGATAAGAGTAGCCCCCACAAAAACCTCACAATCAGAAAAAATCTCAACGTCACGAATACCTCGAGTCCTCAACCAAGCCAACGTTTGTTTGCAAGCAAGAGCTTCTGCCAAAAGAGGGAGGCCCAAGTTTTCTTCCATTTGCCGCTGCCACATATACGCCCCCTGGATAAAAAAGGACGTAACCGAAAGAGATGGAATCCTCCAAATCTGATGTTGCAGCATAAAAAAACACATGTGTGCCTCTGCCCGAAAACTAACATCGTGCCGCTGTGATGTATGTTCCTGCTCCGCTTTCTAACTTAAGCGAATTCAATCGTGAAGATGTATATCCTATGCTGGACTCAAAGACAAACAAATGCATGTAACATTAAGTTTTTTTTTTCTTTTTCTTCCACAAAAGGGCTAGTTTATAATCATTCAAATATCATAGAAACCAAATCACAATTCAATAATTCACCTTGAAGGGTACAAGAACAAGACATTTTTTAAACATACAAAATAATTGAGTGGCGGGGACCAAACGATCAAAAATCTAATCTTGGGCTATAATAGATTACTTTTAAGTAATAAAATTGCGAGATAGAGAAAAAGATCAGATTAAGGACCTGTTTGGAAATAACATTAGAGATTAGCGTTAGTGTTTTCGATAAAAATTTAACGGTGCAGATTACTTTGAAAACGCTACCCGTAGATAGCATTTTCAAAATGCTAACGCTAATCGCTAAATCTATTTCCAATCATGCCCGAAAAAAATAAAAAGTGTTTTGGCCATCATAAGATCTAAAACAAAGGCAACACTTTTCTGTATAAAAAATTGAATAACAATGAAAAGTAAGCCCACATGAAACAAAATGTAGAGTGACAAGCAGATAGTCTCATGATCCGAAATATATAGGTTCACCCAACCCCATTAGTATGAGGCCTTTTGGGAGGTGCCCAAAAACAAATCCGTGAGGGTTTGACCTAGAGCGGACAATATCATACTAATGCGGGGTTGGGGTGAGGGCACGCGAAGTCCCAACATGTGGTATCGGAGCCCAGGTTCTTGCGGGCGGGAGTAGCGGACTGTGCAGTGTGAAAAAAAAATCTCGGTGTGACGGTGTAACTAGGACCAAGACCAAGAAAGAGGATCTGCAGGTGGTGCCTTGTGTCAAAAGTCTTCCCGACGAGAGGAGGTCGGGCGGCGCGCCCCGTGAAGTTATAGCCACGGCGGTACAAGATGATTTGGTGGATCAAATGGTGTATAGCCCAGCGAAGGAAAGATCTGCGGTTCGAGCCTTGCGTCGAAAGTCTTTCCGACAGGAGGTCGGGCGGCGTGTTCCGCAAAGAGTGTGCGGCGGTGCAAGATGGTTAGCAGATAAAGAGAAAAAAAAGGGATTACCGCTGGAGGGGAGGTCGGAAGTTGTGTGGTCCTTGGATGAGGGGAGGTTTATTGGGATTCCTCCAAGTCCCACACCGGATGAGTAGGAGTAAATGAACCAAAATATATAGGTTCACCCAACCCCATTAGTATGAGGCCTTTTGGGAGGTGCCCAAAAACAAATCCGTGAGGGTTTGATCTAGAGCGGACAATATCATACTAATGCGGGGTTGGGGTGAGGGCACATTGTTGGGAATATCACCTCAGTTTTCTAGCGGAAGCAATAAATAATTTTCCCGTCTTTGTGTTGTCAAAATGGGCAAAATCATATGACCAATCAAGAATAGCAAAAACAACGACAAGCAATCAATCAAGCGATAAACGAACACCAAGATTTAACGTGGAAACCCCAAATCGGGGAGAAACCACGAAGCCTTCCACTAATCACCAAGAAAATCAGTGGGTACACCAAGAATCCTCTCTAAATCAATTAGAGGTACACATAATCATCAAGTAATAACTTGGAACACCAAACAACAATAATCTTCACTCAAAAGTGAGAAAACCCCAATAAAAACGCAGCAGTAAAGAGAGGCGATTTTACCGACATCGAGAGGTCAAAACAACAATCCCACCGTTGGATATGAAGAAGAGGATCTCAGGAACAACATACTAAAATTTCATCCCGATCGGAGCTCGTTTGGTCGTCGATCGGGGCACAAAACCAGGCTGCACCTCTCTTTTTCTCTCTTCTTCCTTCTCTCGGCTTCACCCTCTTTTTTTCCTCTCTGTTTTTCTGCGCTGTTTCTGCCGTGTCCAGCCACACAAAAAAAAAGGCTATTACCTTTTCTACAAAGTGGCAGCCCACTTTGACTATTCCCTTTTTTTTTTCTTTTATAATAATAATAATAATAAATATTGTTATTATTATTATACTACTCCACCTCTAAACAAATTACATTTTTAACATTAAATGTATTGTTTAGGAACTCCTTCCTCCGTGTAGGAGGGATACCCCAACAATCACTTGGCATGAAATTCCCAGATCAATTCATCAATCAAAATCCAGAAAATTCAAAACCTGGATCAATTACAGAAGACTTACAAAGCAATCATCATCAATGGTGAAGATGTACTTCTTCTTGGAAACCATGTATCCAAACCACCTAAAAGCAGAGTCCTTGAAAGAGATGCAAGACGCCTTGATTGGGTCCCAGGATCTGATTGATGTCATTGCGATTGTTAATATGTTTTGAATCTGTATTTTGTTGCCGCTACACAGATTAGTAAACTCGGGTCTAATTACGTGGATTAGTAAACGGGGGTCGTCTTCGGCCTGACGGTATGCTATGTTGTTGTATTGGGCTCTATTTATTGTATTGGGTCTAGCCCGCTTTGTGTGCCTTTTTATATAGAGATAGGGCACAAGAACTCTGTACTCTGGAACCTCTGTCATAATACAATCCGCCTCCGATCTGTTCTTGCCTGTGGACGTAGCCAACACAATGTTGGTGAGCCACGTTAAATTGTAGAGCTCGTAGTCGAATCCCTCTGTGACTTTGATGGTCTTTGAGCTCGTTGTCGAATCCCGTTAAATTTGTGAAAAGTTAAAATGAGAATTATTTTTTAAAATGTAGGAAATATTTAAAATCCATACCAAAAATGCCATGAATCCAAGCGACGTGATTTAATAACACAAATTATCAAAAAAAATTATGTAAATTATAAAGAAGCCAAATAACTAAATTGAATTGAGAGAGAAAGCATATAACCCATTAAAAGTGGAGTATGTGCAGGGAAAGGCATAACCAAAAGTACTCTTTGGATTTAATTTCGATCTACCTCTTTAATATAATGACACTTTCCTACGTACAATTTTGTCTAGAAATAAAATCAAGAGATCCATAATCAGGATTCTATTCTTTCAACACACAAGTCTCAAGCCTCAAGCCAAGAAGCCTTTCTCATTTGGACATCATCAAACTAAACCTTCTTTCAATGCAAGTCTTATTACAATTGAAGAGCCATATATAAATGTACATGTTGCATTATATGCATGGCCATAACTAATATATATAGCAAACCATTTAATTAATTAACTCCCCATTCCTTCATACCCAAAACCATATAATTAATAATATGGGAAATCTAATAAATCCAATGTACATTTTCATTTTATTGTCCATAATAATGTTCCACGGAGCCAAGCCTCAATACCAAACACAACCCTACTTGTTTTGCATAAGTGCATGTGAAACTTGCCCTAGAGTGTGCGGCACCCCTCCCCCGGGAGGAGCCTCCGACCCGCCACCGCTTCAGCCACCGCCGCCGCACTTGCATTATTCCCCGCCGCCCCCAGGCGGAGCCTCCGAGCTGCCGCCGCCGCCGCACTCGCATTCCCCGCCGAAATCTCCGCATTATTACGCGGCACCGCCGGGGCCGAACGGAGTGTACATCACCCCGATAAAGCCGCCGTCCCCTAACGCCCAAAACATCCCGCCTTTAGCTCCGAACCTCCCCCTCACACCGCCGTCGACGCCGCCTCCTCCTCTCATTTCAGTGATTTCGCCTCCGTCCCAACCGAATATTTATCCGCCGCCACACTCTACGGCGAAGCCCCCGCCTCTCATTTCACCTCCGGCGGCTTATCTTCCGCCGCCGCAGCTTCCCACCACGCCTCCTCCGTCTCCTCCGAATAGTTCGCCGCAGGGAGGTGGTTCCGGGCAATACTATTTCAACATCTCTGAGGCAGCTACAAAAACGCCACGTGGACCAATTATTTTTGCACTGCTGATTTGCTTAAGAATTTTCGGGTTTTTTATATCATAATAATATCGTTACATTAATCGCTTCCATTACCTTTAATTAATAAGCTGCACTGTAATATAGTTATGTGAATAAACTTAGATGTGTATATATCTTTGTTATTGATGTAAATGTATCAAAATAAGGAGTATTAGACTTACAATATCATAAATATATTTTATAAATAGTCTCTTACAAGTGATTTTTAATATTTACTTCTTCATTCTAATATACTCCTTCCGTCCCATAAAATCTTTCTCCTTTCTTTTTTCATCCACCCCACAAAATAATTCTCATTTCTATTAAAAAGTCACTTTTACCCTTTACTTTTTCATACCCTACCTATCACATCATACCTTTTTACTAATAATCTATCCATCAAATCATACTTTTACCCATCACATCAAAGGACATTTTTGGAAATTCAATACCAAAATACACTACCCTTAAATCACTCCTAAAAAGCAAAAGTCTCATGTTTCACGGGACGGAGGGAGTATTATATTTGTGGTCCTCAATTTATGAAATTACTCCATAAAAGTATTTAGGTTAATTAAATTAGACTAGATAATTTTTTCATATATACTTTCAAAAAAATTGATTATAAAATAGAGTACATAGCATTAAAATTTGACAAATTCTTATATGATCTTAAAGTCTAAGATCATTTTATGGAACTTAGCACATTAATATTATACGAAGTAAGAGAATTTGTTTTTTTGCAAAAAAAGAAAAAATCAACTAGTAGTTAACCCATAAAAAATTTGAAAAAAAAACCACTTTTCACAATATTAAAATCACTGAAGAACAACTCTTAAAATTGGTTACCATGAAACTAGTATATCTCAAATAAAAATTAAATTCACGACCTCGTAGTTCCAAATTGTTGTATGACTTGTGTCGATTTGGACTGCTCCATATTTGATATCACAATTATGTTCCGACTGTATTAAACTTTCTATCTTGACCACAAATTGTGAAAAAAGTATATATAATTATAGTATAAATTCAATATAATTAGAATCATTTAATATATCATTTGTTTATTAAAATTATGTTTAATTCGTGGTCAAAGAATGTCACTGTTTGAAAGAAAATCAAAACAGAAAAGTTTTTTTAGTACTAGAGGGAGTATTAACCCATTTTATTAAGGTTAACAAAAGGTAATAAGAACCAAAACTTAAATTTGTCTTTGTAATTTTTTAATTTTTTTACCACAATATACGGAGTAGTTTCTTACATTTGTTTAAGCCTAATATGATTATACTTGCATCCAAAGTTACTTTCTTAAAGTTAGTTAATTAATATTTTATTTATTTTATGTTCATAAAAAATGTTTTATTTATTTTTTATTTTATACTCCGTATTTTTTTATTTTATATATCCTTCAAAATTATCCCTAATTTTTTTTAACATAATTTAATGTTATATCCATATTTTTTTAGTGAAATCACCCTAAAAAAGACTAAAGCATAGAAAAAGTATCAAAATAGGACTTTCATATTTTTATTCTCGAAACAGGAGTTTGCACTGTGGTAATGTGATATTATACACGTGCACATTAGTATACTTTTTGATAATGTACATAACCACGTTTGGCAAAATAAATGCATTTTAATTCTTATTTTGGGAATAAAAATATGAAAGTCCTATTTTAGTATATTTTCAATGTCGTGCTCTTACACGGTCTATTTCATTAAAAACTAATTTTCTATTACACAAGTACTAACCATACACGGTCTATTTCATTAAGGGAGAAGGACCAAAATAGTAGTAAAACATATGACATATATTCAAAATAAGAATTGAAACATAAAATTTCCTAAATAGGAGTAATTAACTTAAATAATCTAATGGCTTAGAGTTAAGGAGCGAAATAGAAGTAAAACATTGACCATGTAACAAAATAGAAGTTATATTCATATTACAAATATGAAATTAAATACATTATATAAATTAAAAAACTTAAATTAGCTACAGCCCCTACCCCACATGTCACTGTCGCCACCCCTGCCGCCATCGCCGTTACTGTCATCACCGTCACTCCACCGCCACAATCTCCTGCTACCATCGCTATTAATGTGGCCACCATCTACATTGTTGCTACCGGTCCTGCCACTAACACCACCACGGTCGACACTATCACCGTCATTGCCACCACAATCTGCTGCTCTCATCCCCATTTGTTGCGGATGCCGTCTCCATCGCCTCTATTTGTTGTTGTCAATGACGCAATTTACTACCAACGTTGTGATCAAGATTGCCATTGTTGCCTTAGTGTCATGGTGTCACTGCCAAGGGTAAAGACTTTGAATACAATGCCAACTAAAGCCACAATGTCAAAGACGATAATGCATACTGACAAACATGTTATTGCATAATGCCAAATATGTCAACATAAAATATCAAAAAGAAAGTGAAATGTCAATATTGTCAACATACAATATCAAGTTTTTGTCACTATCACCAAATTTTGCTGAAATTGGGAGCAAAATCTAAACACAACTAATACAAAAGCAATCAAACAAAAAAATTAAAAGAAAAACAATCAAATACAAAAATGAAAAAAAAAACTTAACCAAAATCAATGCCTAATGAAGATGCAAATCAAGTTGTATTATTATTATTATTATTATTATTATTATTATTATTATTATTATTATTATTATTATTATTATTATTATTTAGTCATACTGTCATACATGACCTCATCCACAATGGCAGCCATTTAAGACTCTCCAGTCTCCCCTTTTATGAGGTGCGATTGCTGTAAGTCTCCCCTTTTATGAGGTGCGATTGTTGTAAGGCTTCAAATTCTTTATGACTTAATTAATTACTCCTATTTAGAAGAGTTTAAATTTGAACTTCTATTTTGAGGATATGACATATATTTTACTCCTATTTAGGGGTTTCTTTTTCATTAAAAATAAAATTGGCCCATTATTGTGTGATTAGGCCCAAAACTTTAGGCTGGAAAAGATTCTTTTTGCTTTTGTAAAGAGGTAGATACGGACTAGTTTCTTACATTTATTTAACGTAAGCCTAATACTATAATACTCTCTCCGTCCATAAATAAATTTCTCGTTGCGCGTGACAATGTTTGACTGAAGTTATTTTCAAATCATTTTATATGAAAAATGGTGTAAAATTTTAAAATAAAAATTACATATTAAAAAACTATATCAAAAGATCTACAAAACTAGAGATGACATGACTATATTATTTTATCAAATGGGTGACGAAAATAGACCAACAAATTAAATAAAGTTTGACCCTGTGAATAGTGAACGTGAAATTTATTTGTGGACGGAGGGAGTATATACTTGCATCCAAAGTTACTTTCTTAAAGTTAGTTAATTAATATCTTATTTATTTTATGTTCATAAAAAATGTGTTTTTTACTTTTTATTTTATACTCCGTATTTTGTTATTTTATAGATCCTTCAAAATTATCCCTAATTTTTACATAATTTAATGTTATATCCATATTTTTTAAACAAATATAAACCTCTAATTTAAATTATTAAAAATATGAAAAATTACCAAAAAGTTTATTTTCATGTGGACTTTTTAGTTACAGTCCGTCTTAAAAATGTAAAATAAAATTTCATCTACATTTTTAGTCCATGAGCGTCAATCTTTCTTGATTAATATTGACAAAAAAAATACAAAAACGTTTTTTTGACAAAAGAATTCTCTCACAATACATCATTTAAAGTACGGGCGGTTACCCATAAACCTGGATTTTTTTCCATTGTAGATACCCTAATGTTTAGCGTTGTAATAAAAATGTACCTCAACTTCAATTTGTAACAAAAGAATATTTTAACTATACATTTTGTATCAAAAAGGTATCCCAAGCCGATTTTCGAGTCACCAATAGGTCACAAGAATCAAAACTGCACTTTCTCATCTTTATTTTTATATGTTTTTTACCATATTAGTTTCTTACTCGCTCAATTAAGCTAAATGCAATTACACATTCATTCAATTTCCTTCTTTTTCTATTAATTTTTTAAAGTTGATTTAATTAATAATTTATTAAATTTTATCTTATTATTGAGTGAATTTTCAAAATAATTCTTTCTAATAAGGTATTTTTTCCAAATTAGTCCTCAATAAGCAAAAATTACCTGCATAATTCTTTGTAATTTAGATTTATTTCCTAAATGGTCATCTACCGTAAATATCTATTAATGTTAGTAAAATAAAAAGTATTTTGATATTTTCTATCATCTAAATTTAAAATTTTTTTCTCAAAATACTTCTATGTAATTAAGTGTTTTACCAAACTCATAATTTCTAAGTAAGTGTTTTCTCGAAATGAAGTCCATGAGCCAACTAAATGTGGATCTGTTTCTCTAGTAGTCACCTACGTAATTTGAAATGACCATTTTTAGGACTTATTCATATTAATTTAAAAGAGTCAAACCCTATTTACTTTGTTTGCAAAAATTCATTGCATCTTTTATACAATAATACTCCATCTGTTCCACAAAACCATTTCCCTTTCGTTTTTTTGAATTCCCTAAAACACTTCCACTTTCTATTAAAAAATCACTTTTACCCTTACTTTTTCATACCCTACCTATCACATCATACTTTTTTTCTAATAACCAAACTGTCACATCTTACTTTTATCCATCACATCAGAGGCAAAATTGGAAAGTCGACCAAAATTACACTTTCCTTATTTTTGGAAGGGTTTAAAGGAACGATTTAAAGTGGAAGGGTTTAAAGGAACGGAAGGAATACTATATTTTATGTCCTTTCTAGTTTTGAATATTTTTTATATAAGTTTTAAATATTAAATATTTATTTTTAAATTTCACACTATTTTTTATAAAAAATAATTTAAAAATAAAAAAATACGGAGTATCCAATAATTTTTAGGAGGAAGAGTTATCAAGGCCCATACTAAAAAATACGGAATAGAATGCCAAGTATCCGTAAAACTACTTCGTCGGAGGTGGCCGGGTGGGCAATCAATCATATCCGGGCGGGCAATCAATCATATCCGGGCGAATGGATCCTAATCCCCTCCAGACATCTTCGCCGGAGGCGGAGGAGCTACATCTGCCGCCACCTAAAATTCAGATATATCCCACTTCTACCGGCGTAATTTCGTCTTTCTGGAAAGGCAGATCTCTCTCTCTGTGTAAATAATTTGTTCGAATTCTTGCTCAGATTTCTTTTACTACATCGGTAAAGATTTGATTTTTATTTTCTCCCGCTGGGCAGAGAAGTATGAAAGAGACGCAAAGAAGTACTGGGAAATCTTTTACAAACGCCACCAAGATAAGGTATGCTTCTCCAATGCATATTTATTTACAAATTTGTCGTAGTATTACTGGAATTTTATTTTCTGCCCAGAGAAAAAAATCCATTTTTGCGGTACATTTTGGAAGTGTTTGATGTTCTTGTATATAAAAGATTTCTTGGGCACCGGAACCCTTCTCGAGTGAGTTGTATTAGAACTTTGCTGACCCTTCTTGGTAGTTGTAACTAGTCTTATTGATAAGTTCAAATCTCACTGACAATCACTTTCAAAAAAGTTAATGTTCACGTACAAAACTCGAACAAGTGAAAATCTCGGGTGCACGTGAGGGTGATTTTGGAAAGTCCCAATTTTGATGTTTTCAAATACGGAGTATATAAAATCTTGTGTAGGCATCCAGCCATAGGATTGAATTTTTGATTGAATTGGTTCCGTAAGATTTGAGTGGCTGGTTTCTTTGTATGCTTCAAGCTTTCTATTTTACTTGCTGAGCTGCTTGAATCAACTAGAGAATTACAGTGAGATTTTCATGTGAATTGTTGCTGCTTTCCCATTCACTTGTTGGGCTTTTTAGAAAGGTTAAATTTCAATGATTTTCAATGCAAAACATTGATAGTTTTCAAATGGGATGCTGATTTTTTTACTCTTTGTAATAAAACTGTTAATCAGTTTTTCAAGGACAGGCACTACTTGGACAAGGAATGGGGTCACTACTTTTCTGTGAGTTCCTAACATCAATTGCAAGAACTATACTTTATTTTTATCTAATTTAGTCCATTGTATATATAGTCATTGCTTACATTTGGTCCAAATCTTTGCAGGGTACTGGAGGGAAAGTAATCCTTGAGGTAAATTTCATAAATGGTGGTCACATTGTGGTTTATAATGTATTTTAGCATCCATTATCCCCTAAAGATTTCTCATTGTTTGATTGAAACTACATTTTTCTGCTTATTATGTCGATGAATTTTACTAGTTGTAAACTGGTCTTGGGGTTGAAATGTGTTTTTACTTTAAAAAAAGTGTCTGCTTGACCTATATTGATCCTTAGTCATGCTATTTCTAGGTTGGCTGTGGTGCTGGAAACACCGTCTACCCCTTGCTTGCTACATATCCAGATATATTCGTGCACGCATGTGACTTTTCACCACGAGCTGTTAACTTGGTTAAGGTAGATACTTCCAATGGAAAATGACATTTTTCAAGTTTTCAACCATTTCTATTGTGATTTGGCACTTCAAAAAGATATTTACGACAATAACCCTTGATGCTGTTACTGCCTAAAACTTCATCGAACGTACACAAAGCTAGGGAAGTTTAATGTGCCATTTTATGTAGTCCATTATTAACCCAAAGCTAAAACATTGTGAAAAATTGACTATTCTAGCTCCATTGGCAATGGGTGCACAATAGTTTCTAATAAATATTTGTATTTTTAAATTTTTATTCCAGTTCCATCTTATACATGTTCAAACAACACTTCTTTTAGTAAAATCCCATTCCAAGTCTCTTATTTAAACCCAACACCTCCATACTTTCCTCGGTACTTCATAGATGGGCAATAAGGTACTTTTTCTGAATAAATTGCAGACACGCAAGGACTTTGAAGAGACCAGAGTCAATGCATTTGTTTGTGATTTGACCGCCGATGACCTGTGCCAGCATATTTCTCATTCTTCCGTGGATATTGTGACCATGGTATTGGAATAAAGATACCCGAACTGCATTTAGTTTTCTCTCTAATATTTGTCTGGGGAGTTTTATTCTTTACATGCATATTCCTATATTCCTATATTACCCTTTTCGTGAGCTGATGAACTTAAGACTTTTTTTAAATACTTAATACATACGCTGACTAGTTACACAGATATTTGTTTTATCTGCAGTAACCCCTGAGAAGATGTCAGTAGTGATTCAGAACATAGGAAAAGTTCTCAAGGTTTAGTTCAAGCTCGCCTCATGCATCTATGCTTCACTTTCAAAGGCATTAGCTTGCCTGTGTTTTTTCGTCGTAATCTTTTTTTTTGCTTTCCAGCCAGAAGGTTTTGTCTTGTTTCGTGACTATGCAACCGGAGATCTGGCGCAGGTTAAAGCTCCCTTAATCATTTGGCACTTTATTACATCTCTTGTTACCACTTTATCTTTGTTACCTATATAGTACTTTGCAGGAAAGATTAATCTTAAAGGAGCAAAAGATCAGCGATAACTTCTATGTTCGGGGTGATGGAACTGTAAGTTTTTGTGTCATAGATACCAATGTTTCTTGAAGCAAAATCTCTCTCTTTTTTTTGTTGTAAATTCAAAAGACATCTTCATATTTAACTACACCAGCAGGCATTCTACTTTTCTGAAGAGTTCTTGTCCAATCTTTTCAAAGAGAATGGATTTGAGACTGAAGAACACGTTTTGTGTTTTAAACAAGTGGAGAATCGTTCAAGGGAAATCGTGATGAATAGGTACTCAAATCAATAAATGCATTTCTTTACACTGACCGTGCGAGTTTTTGATCCCCGTCATCAAGTCATCTATTCTCTCCAAATCTCTCCCTTTAAAATTACTACTAACATGTTTAGGTGGTTTTGAATTGTGATCTCAGACGTTGGGTTCAAGCCGTGTTCCGTTTGGGTTGTGGCGAACCTGCTGCGAAAACCGGGAGCAAGGTGAAACTCATTGGTATGGAAGGCAATACAAATGGTCTTGACATTGATATTTCTGATGGAATTGCTCTTGAAATGTTTGGCATTTCATCTTCAAGTGAAGAGGTATCTTCTCCCTTAGGCTTAGAAAACTTTTTCCCAAAATGATTCTTACAATAAGAACTCAAAAGAGACTTTTCCAAGTAGAGCCAAGCAAAGTTTGCATGCACAAACCTTCCCCAGACTCTATTTTTTTGGGTGAGATTTTACTAGGTTTCGTTGATTCTTTTCCTTGTGCTTTATTGTAAATAGGTCATTGACGTGGTCATAAACGATTTGCGTTTCAAAATAAATGTCCTGTCGAGAGAGTACCAGCACACATGCAAGTCAACCGGCTTGATGCTGTGGGAGTGCGCTCGCCTGATGGCCACGGTGCTCTCCGAAAACCCGGGGATCGTTGCGGGTAAAAGGGTTCTCGAGTTGGGAAGCGGATGCGCCGGGATCTGCTCTATGGTGGCTTCAACATCTGCCCAGCTCGTGGTCCCCACCGACGGGGACGCAAGAGCTCTGGACTTGTTGAACCACAACATCTCCCTGAACCTCAACCCGTCGTCCATTCCCAGAAAGCTGACCTCCGCGAAACTGGAGTGGGGGAACGGGGACGACATCGGCTCCGTCCAGAGGCTGAACGGCGGACAGGGATTTGACGTAATTCTAGGCACCGACGTCGCGTACGTTCCTGAAGCGATCGCGCCGTTATTCGCAACTGCAAGAGAGCTGATCTCTCTTGGCGGGGCCCTGATTCTTTGCCACGTCCCGCGCCGAGTTGACGAACCGTCCATACTTTCTGCCGCGTCAGAATCCGGCTTCGAGTTGGCGGACCGGTGGCCGGGCACGGAAACCTCCTCCTCACCAGTGGCACCACCTCCCAACATCATCAAGAATTGGCTCTTTCAAGGATGCAGCCTAAGCACACTCCCTACCACAGGTTTGGTGAGCATCTTGTATTTCCATAGCAGATCATCAACTTATTAGGAGATCTGTTTGAAACATTTCTGTGTTATCTTTTTGATACTTCTCTTTCAAAGTCCTAAGAAAATCTCCAAATTGATCATCATGGTAACATTTTTCTCTGTCCATATTTTTCAAAGTTTTATCTTGGCAAGACAATTCTTCACAACTATTTCTCGAAGATTACTTGTTGATACTTGAAGATATTTTTTTAGGGTTGAATAAGGATCCTTTACTTTTGAACTAAAATCATTTTAAATCTTTTGAGAGTCCAACCAAATATGACCTTTTTCCTCCTCTTTACACATAATTAACACAATGCAAGAGTAGAATGATGTATTAAAACATGATATCCCAATAATATCAAGAACAGCAAGTTGTATTTGTTCGTCTCGTACATGCATTCCACGATAAACACATAAGGAAAGTTCTTTACAAATACTATTGATCTAGGGTGCATGAAAACTAAATGGGTTAAATGAGGGTTAAAAGTATAATTTAACATCAACATTATGTCCAGTGACGTATTCTGATGTCTATTAGATGGATAATGAAAAAATAGTGACTATAATTGTGGACTGGGATTCCGATGAAAGACCTCATCTGTACGCTATGATTTTAGTAGAAAGCAACTGTAATTCACAAACGATGCATCAGGAGCGGCCTCCGAAATTGTGTAAGAAAAGAAAAATATATGATCATTGTGAAATTACACTTTTAACCCTCAAATTAACAACAATATGACTGAAGATCAAGAAAAAGACTATTTGTAGAAAGATACCCATAAAAGAAGGATCACTGATGTGCTATTTGATAATAAAAAACTGAATAAAGAAAATCCCTTGTTATAACTTATGAGTGACTAATTATGAAATTTACTCAAAAATTTAACATTTGTCTTAAGCATTAAGACATGAGTTTCGAAACATAATTCCCAAGACAAAATCTCAAACCGCTCCAAATGCACATTCATTTGCAAGGGCCATCCATAGGGGTAGGCTAGATGGGCTGGCTTCCAGGACCGATAATCAAAATATGGGCCCAAATTGTTTTTAAAACTGTTTTTCGGTTTGTTACACTATGTTTGATTCAAGAAATTTGATAGAAAAAAAAAGAAAATTAAGTGGAAAATAGATTTTCTTGTTTGGTTAAAGAAGAGAAAGGAAAACTAGAAGAAAAAGAAAACGAGAAAGCAAAATGTACTAAGAGGAGAAAAAAACAAAATCTCCCCCATTTTGATTAGGAAAATGAGTGAAAATCATTTTCTTTTTTTTTTCCTTTCAAATTCCTTGAACTAAACATAGCGTTTGAGATTTTTTTCAATTGCTCCGTATCCTTTTTTAGCACTATGTTTGGTTCAAGAAATTTGAAAGGGAAAAGAAATGAAAATGAAGTGGAAAATAGTTTTTTTTTGTTTGGTTAGAGAGAAAAAAAAAGAAAAAGTGGAAGGAAAAAAATGAGAAGACAAAATATATTTAGTAGAGGGAAAACCATTTCCTTTTATTGTCCACTTATCTTCAACTCTTCTTAACATTTATAAAAAATCAACCAGAGAAGATTTATAGTGGGCACAGAGGGTATATGTTGTTTTATTTTTAAAAAAAAATTATTTTCATTTACCGTTTCCAATAATTAGCACCTAAAACATCAAATTTCGCATCCAAACAAACATTTTCAATGCCACATGAATGCATTGAAAAAGAGCTAAATAAATATGCACTGTATTCTTTTTCTGCATAACCATTTTTCTAATGTGAAGCGCGGGAACATGATAAACTCAATAAATTTAATCAATTAAGTATGATATCTCCTTTTTAAGTTGTTTGAATATTTTTTCTAGGAAAAAAGACTAAAATAGGAATAAAATATTGAAATATACCAAAATAGTTCTATGTTTATATTTTCGAAATAGAAGTTAAAATACATTTATATTATCCATCATGACTATGCATATTACCAAAAAGTATAATAATAAAATGCACATTTAATTTAGGAAATAAAAACATTGAATTCTTATTTCGATACTTTTTCTATATGTTATTCCTATATAGGGTGAGTTCTTCCTTTTCTATTTGCATAAAGTATCTACTAAGAAAATACCTACCTGGATGTAAAATTTTACTCTCTCTGTCCAAAAAAAATGGTCACACTTTACTATTTAAAATTTACCTGATTTTTTTTTTATTTTTACGTTTTTCATTGATTATTTGATAAAATATAATATTATTGTTATTTTTTGTTTTGTAAAACCTTTTTCATAGTTTTTAAATTTGTATGAAGTAATTTTATTTTTATTTCTATATCAATCTTTAAATAAAATAAATTAAAAATTCATAATTTTACTTCGTTCCATAAGGTTGCAATTTTTTGGGAGGGGAGAAGTATATGGAGGAGACTCTTTTTATTTGGCTTAAGGCCCATTAAAAAGACGCTCGCCCTAAGCTTTTGAATGGATAGTCTCATATTTTAAACGTTATGTTTATAACTAAAAGAGTGTTAGGGAGTGTGGTAGATTGTTTAAAAAAGAAAAAATTTCAAGTTGAAGCGGAAAACGGATATTTTAAACTTTGCTTAAAAACATTTCTAAAACTCATTTTAGACAACAGAAGTCATAATCTATAAGCAGAAGCATATCGGCAAACACGACAAACATTATTTTAGTGAAGCAAACGCTCATAAATAGTTTTTAAATGCAGCCCCAAACAACTTTTAATACTCCGTAATACTTTAGGGTGTGTTTGGTGAGCAAACAAGATATGAGTTTTGATATCTCCAAATATTTGAATTCTTTTTGGCTGTTTGGTGACGCAAAAAAAGATATCGAATTCGATATCTCCAGATATCATAAATCCTTCAAATGGAGGGTTTGATATCTCCTGAATTTGGGAGATATCAATATGCAGGTTTGACATCTTTCTCAACTATTGATCATTCTCCGTCCCCAGTATTTATATATGATGAATGTATAATGACATTATACATTTAAATTTATAATACGGTCCGGTTCTAGTGATACTGGAGTACGGTGCCACTCCGGTTCCACTGGGGTTTTAGGGCACCTCCGGTGCTCTGTTCGCAAAATTGACGGTTCCTATCCCCCCTAACCCACCCCCTAAATCCCCCACCCTACCCCCGCCCCTGCACCCCCACCCCAACGCATAATAGCCACACATTTTGTGGGGGGCTTACGACGGGGTTGGGGTGGGGGTGCAGGGGCAGGGGTAGGTGGGGGGTTTAGGGGTGAGTTAGGGGGATAGGAACCGTCAATTTTGCGAACGGAGCACCGGAGGTGCTCCAAAAACCCAGTGGCACCGCTAGTGGCACCGAACTCCAGTGTCACTAGAACCCCATCGTTTATAATATATTATCTCAAACAATGAAAATGATGAATTCTTTTTTTTTGTGATCATTTAACTGAGTAACTTTTTAGTACTTTGATCAATTTTTTCAACATTTTATTTTTAACTCTTTTTAATTTCTTCCAACATGCAACTTTAAAATTTCAAATAAAAAGAACGAGGCCTAAATGATATTGCCAAATAACTTTTGAGAGATGAGTGTCATAATTGTGTCTCTCTCAAATAAGACATCATATGTTTGAACCCATTGAAGACGTTATTTTTTTTGAACAGAATGCACATTTTATTTAAATCAAAATCAGAGACCATTTGTTTACAGACCTCAACCACCAAAGCATATAAATTGGTAACTGCTATATGCTAATCTGCCCTCATTACTTTTTCCTCCAGTAGGTTTCTATACATTTGCGAATCTGCATATGAATGTCCTCCTCTTGCATCAAAGGCTGTGAATGAATGATTTTGTTTCTTGTCTTCCAGATCCAGTAACATGTAGCAGCATAAGCACTTATGCATTCCTTCCTTTTCCTCCCTTTGAGAATCATGACCTTGTTTTTAATTTCTTCTACACTCCCCCTTTGATTGTGAAGCCAATTCCTTCTGATATTTTCCCCATCAGTTTGGTAGTGAAAGGGCAATTGCAAAAGAAGTGGTTGTAGTTTTCATCCTCAATTCTGCATAGTGGGCATACTTGGTTTATGTCAATATACCTGCTTAGTCTATCCTTGGTCTTCAATCTTCTTTCCATATTAGCCAAAGTAAGAATTGGTGTTTTGGAGCTGTCAATTTATTCCATATAAAAGGGGGTCCAGGATGATTTAGGTTTCTCCCCTAATAGTCATGTGTATCCATCCTCTGTTGTATACTCCTTAGTGATCTTTATATTGACAAACCATTTTCTGTTTTGCACGATTTTCTTCCAATAATAACAGCTATCACCCTTTAGCTTGTAACTCTCCATCTCCATTTTCATATATCGTTCATGTATCCATTTTACCCATAAATTGTCCTTATTCTTGACATCCCACCAGTAATTCTGTATAAAAGCTCTGTTCCAGAGTGTCATATTCCTCAGCCCCAGCCCTCCATATATTTTAGTTAGACATACCTCCTCCCAATTCACCAGAGGGATCTTGGTGTAGTTAGCTTTGGACCCCTAAAGAAAATTCCTGCAAATGCTCTGCACCTTCCTCATGACCTTAGAAGGTATGATAAAGAGTTGGCTCCAGAAGGTCATAATTCCAAAGAGTACTGTGTTGACTAACTGACACCTTCCTGCATAAGATAGGTGCCTAGTGGCCCAAGTTGATATTTTATTTGTGATGTTACAGACCAATCTGTCACATTCTTTCTCCCCTATCCTTAATGCTGATATTGGGCTCCCAAGGTATCTGATAGGGAGGTCTCCTGGGGGGAGGTTTGTTAATCTTAGTAGCATCCCTTGGGTATCCTTGTCTACTCCTCCAAAAATAATTTGTGACTTGCTGAAATTGATCCCCAGTCCTGTGCCCTTTTGGAAGGTCTCCAGTGTATCCATTATGGCTTTCGCAGATTTGTATTCAGCCTTGCATACTATGATTAAATCATCAGCAAAGCAGAGGTTTACCACTTTGAGTGATTTACACATTGGGTGGAACTGGAAATCTTTTGTTTTGGCCATTTGCTGGAGTAGCCTGCTTAGGTATTCCATAATTAGAACAAAGAGCAACGGGGATAGTGGATCACCTTATCTTAGCCCTTTCTTTCCTGCAAAATGTCCATGGGTTTCTCCATTCAGCTGTACAGAATATGAGAGAGTTGATATGCAGTATTCAATCCAGCTTACAAACTGGTGGGGAAGTTTGAGCAGTTCCATGATTTTTATGACAGCCTTCCAGCTTACATTGTCATATGCTTTCCTAATGTCCAGCTTCATTAGGCATCTGGGGGAGATTCCTTTCCTTTTGTATTCTCTGGTTAGCTCATGACATAGCAAAACATTATGTGCCAGCTTTCTTTCTTTGATGAATGCTCCTTGGTTTTGGCTGATTATCTCTGGTAATACTTTCTTGAGCCATTGAAGACATTATTAATTCTTTTTACTTATGAAGGTTTAGAATATATTTAAAAAATAAAAATAAAAAAATGACCCTTTGTCCAGTGGTTTAAGCTCTTGTCTATTCAAAAATCATGGAAACTTTTGTTTATTTGTGTATTTTTAGTTATTAAAAGGAAATATGAGCCCCAGTATCCTTCCTTCTAAAAAAGTGACCGAGTTCAGATGCAAGAAGGATATTATCGGAAATAAGCCTACCTGGAAGAAACGCAGACTGTGCCTCAGAAATGATATGCTGTAACAAGGGCTTCAGTCGAAATGATATGCTGTAACAAGGGCTTCATATACAAATTCATTCCTCTTTCTTTATTCCATCTCTTAGTTTTGCTTTTGTGCTGATTTGCTTTGGATTTTTATTGGTTCAACATAAGAGAAAGAGAAGGGAGAATAATGATTAAAATAAATGATTTGAGAGAGAAAAGAAGATAGATTAAGAATTGGTGGTGGAGAAAAGATCTAGATCTGAGATTCTTATATGGTGAATTGGAGAGAAACAACAATCAATTTTTTGACTTAATTTTGTTGAGAAGATAGGAAAATGAGTTAAGAGAGTTTTTCAGGAGTTGCCGATTCGAAAAATTGAAGGAAGACATCGGCTCGAGGCTAAATGAGATCCAGGCTTAGACGACGGTGACGGCGGAGCGGTTGTGGATTTTGAGGGCATGTTTACTTTCGGCGTTTTTTTTGGAAGAACCATAGAGACGACAAGAGGGAAGCTCCTCCTTTGACAGTTTTTTTATTGTGATTTGAACACGAGATTTTTTTTTGAATGGAGAAGTTAATTTGAGGATAAAAGAAGGAAAAGAAAATAGAGGTGAATAAGGTGGAGCCACCGTCGCCGGTAATTCTGGCGACAGCGGCTCCACCTTATTCACCTCTATTTTCTTTTCCTTCTTTTATTCTCAAATCAACTTCTTCATTCAAAAGAAAAAAACCTTGTTGAAATCATACAAAAAAACCATCAAAGGAGGAACTTCTCTCTTGTCATATCCATGGTTTTTCAAAAAAACACAACTCCTCACAAACTCTCTCAACTCATCCCGTCTTCTCAAAAAAAGGAAAAAATGATAGTTGTTTCTCTCCAATTCACCATATCAAAATCTCAGATCCAGATCTTTTTTCCGTCACCAATTCTTAACCCATTTTTTCACTCTCACATAACTCATTGTAATCATCAACCGCCATTCTCTTTCTCTTCTGTTGAACCAATAAAAATCCAAAGTAAATCAGCACAAAAACAAAGCCAAAAGGAGAAGTAGTGAAAAAGGAAAGAATACATCTAGAACTCACCCATTCAAGAAGGAAATAGGGTATTGACCGGATCCAAAAAAACAAAGAATGTCAAGGATCTTCAATCAAACAGACACCTGCAATAGCTTTCTCTGTTCTTCTTCGACGTCAGCAGCTATCAGCGCACATCAACCCTTTCTCTCTTCTTCAAAGACTTCAGCAGCTACTAGCACACGTCAGAATTCTTTCTTCTCCAACGACGTGAGCAGCCACTGGCGCACGTCAGACTTCTCTCTTTTCTAACAACGTCAGCAGCCACCAGCGCACGTCAAACTTCTCTCTTTTCTAACGACGTCACCAATCACCGATGCACCTCAGACTTCTCTCTTCTTAAAGTTTCCAGCTAGTGTCCAAGCTTCCTCTTGCTTCATTCAAAGTTCAGCTTGAGGGAGGATGTTAGACAATAATATAATAATATTAATTCTGGTAGTATTGGTTATGCTAGTGTTTGATTATTAGTCAGCTTTTTATTCTTGTTTATGATAGATGTTATATTTTAGTTAGTCTCCATTTTCTATTTTTATTTGTGTTAGGAGTCTTTTCTATATATACTCTATCATATATTTCATAATTCAAAGAACAATATTATTATTTTAATATTTCAACAACAGACACTACCTTTGGTTGACGACTTACTACTGATTGGTGCATACATCGTAAATAATTTGAAGTAATTAAATTACTCACATATATATTGTATAGCATAAACCTTATGTCCTATATATGTTTTGATATTTAAGAATATGATTGGAAAAGTTGTTAGTCAAATTACATCAGAAACTCGTATGGTAACGAATGTTACATTGGAGGACTGTAAGTATATGAATATCAAAATTCTCATAATCATCGAAATCATAAAATATTTTATGAAGGACATTACAGTTTAGAGATCAACAATAGAATTTATTCTTAAAAAATGAAAAATTATATTTTTCTTATGATGGTTACTAATCGAAAATACCCTAATCATAACATGAATAAAGAATGTCTCTTAAAGCTACTTTTATTTGACATTTTTCTAGAAACTAGAAGAGGATATGATCGACGGATTATGTGGATGGATAATACTACGTAGATGAAGCGGTGCGTGAAAGGTGGAGCCTGCAAAACAACAAATGGCATAAACTGCACATGCATTATGATATATATTTACAATACAAAAAGTTTTTTCTTTCTCTTTTTTTTATCTGAAAAAATTTAAAGTAGCAGCCAGGTGTGAAGCTGAAATTCAAAGAAAAAAGAAAGAAAAAAAAGATATCCATAGAAGGATTTGAATTAGACAGCAAAGGGCTTCAAAATATACAGCTGCACTTTGATTAGAAATACTTAGTAATAAAAAGTGAAAAATCTGTGGTTGAATATTAATTCGAAAGAAAGAAATAATATTTAATTGGAAATAGTATTTTTTAAAAAAACACTAGTAATAAAAGGTAAAAAATCTATGGATGAATATTTAATTTGAAATAGAAATAATGATATTTTCCCACCCCTAAATAAACTATTTTCTCCGTTCTTGAAAATACTTTCGCCCTAATTCTTTACATACTGCATAAAATACTTTTACTCTATTTAAAAGGAGAAAGACCAAAGTAAAACTAAAACATTGAAAATATACCAAAATAGGACTTCCATGTTTTTATTCTCAAAATAGTACTTACATTACCAAACATGGTCATATACATTACCAAAAAAGTACAGTAATTTGCACATGTACACATCTACATTACCACAATACAAAGTCACATTACCACAGTGCAAAGTCTTATTTCGGAAAAAAACATGAAAATCCTATTTTGGTACTTTTCTCTATGTTTTAGTCCTATTTAGGATGATTTCTACTATTTAAAATGTCTAAAATACCTCCAAAACAGCCTTTACCCGCAATAAACCACATAATGGGATGTATTTTAGACATTTTAGATGAAAGTAAAAAGTATTTTTATGGAATGGGCAAAACATTAAGGTGAACGTATTTTCAAAAACGGAGGGAGTACAATTTATGCAAAATGAAGTAAAATCTGATTTTTGTTAAATTTATACTCAATATTATTTAAAATTGATATAAACATAAAAAAATAAAACTTTTGTATTTAAAAAATAAATCAAATTTTGTCAAAACAAATCGTGACAATTATATTTTATTTTATCAAATCAAATAATTATCAAAGCATACAAATAAACAAAAATTCACATTATTTTTGAATTGTCATTGTGAGAAAGAGGAATTATAACTCTAAATTCTTTACCCGGACGACGAATTTGATTTTTTCAAACTCAACAAATTATGATTAATTCAATAAAAAATCATTGAGTAGCATTCTTTTCGTTTCTCATAGATTTTCACGGATAGTATTTACAAAATCAAACTTAATTTACTTTATTTGCTTATTTTTACAACCTATTTCATAAAATAATACTCCCCCTGTCCAAAATTAAACTTTACATCACACATTACGATGTTCGACTGAAATTATTTTCAAATCATTTTATATGAAAAATGGTGTAAAATTGAAAAATAAAAATTACATATTAAAAAACTATATCAAAAGATCTACAAAACTAAGGGTGACATGACTATATTATTTTATCAAATGGGTGACGAAAATAGACCAACAAAGTGAATAATGTTTGACCTTGAGAATAGTGAATGTAAAGTTTATTTGTGGACGGAGGGAGTATAATAATCTCGTTTACTTTTACTTTTATTAATAAATGATGACTTAATCATTTTGGAGTAACTGAGTACTCATTTTTTTCTAATTTCTGTCACTCTTTTCCAAACTCTTCACTTTTTTATAAGTTTCCATGTTAGTTCTTTCTAATTCTTTCTAACTATTAAAATTCATTTTCATATTATTTTTAGTTCCATTATCATGAATACTATTGTTATTATCATTATAAAATAAAATGTACAAAATAATCATTGTACTCTATTTAGCTTATAAGTGTAAAAATAACGAATATATAACAAAATTTAATTAACACTTTCAAATTTTAATTAGATGAAATTGTGATATTATCATTTTAATAATGTAATTGTTTAAGTAATTTTATTGACTTACTTTTTTTAATATTATTTCCTTATTTATATTATTCTTTTGCATAACTAAAAAAATGTAACTCATATCACATAAAAATGGTAAATTCACATCGTTAATGCTCAGTTCGTTTTTTGAAAAGAGCTATTCTTTCATGATCCTAAAATGTAGACTTTCTCACATTTTTTATAGATTGCCAAACGAATATCTTTTTTTTTTCAAAAGTCCAATTCTTTTGATTATCAATGAACTATAATCTAATCCCTCCATCCCAAAATGAATGAGACGTTTTGACTTTTTGGAAAATTAAGAGAGGGATATTTTGGTATTGACTTTCCAAAAATACCTTTGATGTAATGGGTAAAAGTAGGATGTGATGGGTAGATTATTAGAAAAAAGGTATGATGTGATAGGTAGGGTATGAAAAAGTAAGGGTAAAAGTGGTTTTTTAATAGAAATGTAACGGACTTTACGGGACGCAATTTTTTCTAAACGTAATAAACTTTTTGAAACGGAGGGAGTATAACATATGCATGAACCTAAGAACAAGAGTAGAATTTCGCAAGTGTATATATAACAATATACAACCTCCACATATTAAACTTCTAATTTGAATAATATGCAAAATCTCATTTTGTTAAAATTTACTTCCTCTCCCCCCGTAAACTTTCTAATTTTTCAAATCTTACTTGTATTATAAATATTTTTATTCATGCTAAATAAACACAATTGTCTTTATATTTATTAGATCTAATCAAACATATCTCCAACTAAATATATTTTACAAGATGGAAGAAGTATTTTATTAATAAAATCGTATAAAATAAAATAAATATAAATTAAACATTCCAATAGATCAGAACATCAAAAGTTCAACATAATAAAATAAAATGTGATCTAATCAAATTATAAAAAAACATATAAATAAACAAAGCTTATCAAACACCCAAAATAAAATAAAATGTGATCTAATCAAATTATAAAAAAACATACTCCCTCCGTCCCATGAAAAATGGGATGTTTTGCTTTTTGAAGAGATTTAAGGGAGTGTATTTTGGTATTAAATTTCCAAAAATGTCCTGATGGGTAAAAGTAGGATTTGATGTGTAGATTATTAGTAAAAAGGTATGATGTGATAGGTAGGGTATGAAAAAGTAAGGGGTAAAAGTGATTTTTTAATAGAAATGAGAAGTGTTTTATGGGACGGATGAAAAAAGAAAGGAGAAAAGTTTTATGGGACGGAGGGAGTATAAATAAACAAAGTTTATCAAACACCCAAAATAATAACCCGAAAGTTAATTTGTAGATAGAGGAAGTATTTATTTGATTGACAACATTTAGCTTGAGTTTTTCCCCAACACAACCATACCGATGCCCTGTTTGTTTTTTACCCTTTTGGGATGACTTCTCCCTGTTTTGAATAATTTCAACTGTTTTGACTGACCAAAGAGCACAAAAAAGCATTTCACATTTGATTAATAGGATTGAATATTT